GCGCTCAGGCGGCCAACGGGAGAGACCGCCGCCGAGCTGACGGCTACGGTGATGTCGGCCGCTGCTGAGACCGCGCCGCTGGCGAGGTGCGCACGAGGGCAGAGAGGCTGGTACACGAGCGAAGCGCAGCACGAGATTTCCGAGGCGTCTAAGGAGATTAAGGCGGCCCAGCAGCAACTGCGTGGGGCCTTCAAGAACAGCGCCTTCGAGGCGACCCTGAAGGCAATGCTCAAGGCGGCGCGGAAGAAGCGCAGCATCGCGAGGTGGAGCGCACTGGAAACGTTCTTCGAGGGCAATGTACGGCAGCTCGAGAAGAAGAGCCGCGAGGGGGATCAGGCGGGTTTCTACACTGAAGATGATCGACGTCGAAGGTAAGAAGTCGGTCACCTCTCAGAACATCAAGGACGAGGACGGCAAGGTCCTTCGGGACCCCACGTTTATTCGCCAACGGTGGGCACGGTGGTTCCACAAGCTTCTCAACACCAAGTCGCCGACCATCGACCTGCATGCGGCTGACAAGGTCAAGCGGTGGCCCACGTGCGTGCCACTCGACGACATCCCATCTCTACTTGAGGTTGAGGAAGCGGTACGGGAAATGGCCAACAGAAAGGCCGTCGGGCCGGACGACCTACCGGCTGAGCTGATCAAGCTTTTCCTGGACGGAGATCAAGGTCTCCTCCGCGAATTCCACGCCATTGTCGTGGACGTGTGGCAGACTGGGGACGTACCATAGCAGTGGAAGGATGCCGCCATCAAAGTGCTGTTCAAGAAGGGGGACATGCTGGAGTGCGGCAACTATCGGGGCATCTTTCTCGTCGCACACGCCGGCAAGGTGCTGCCTAAGGTCGTCGCTACACGACTGAGCCACTACTGCGAGCGAGAGGGCATCCTCCCGGAGGAGCAGAGCGGTTTCCGCCCGCACCGGTCGACGCTCGACATGCTGTTCGCCATCCAGCGGCTCCATGAGCTCGCGAGGAAGAAGAGTACTGCGGTGTTCGCGTGCTTCGTCGACCTCACCAAGGCATACGATTCGGTGGACCGAGACCTACTGTGGGACGTGCTCCGACGCTTCGGCGTGCCCCCGAAGATGCTGGCGGTCATTCGCCACTTCCACGAGGGCATGAGGGCGCGCGTCCGAACGGACGACGGGCAGTACTCGGAATGGTTCGACGTGAGCCAAGGCCTCCGACAGGGATGCAACAAGGCCCCGCTGCTGTTCGACGTGTTCTTTGACGCGATGCTCATGGTCGCCGTGGCCGAGTTCGACAAGGACCCCAAGGTGACGGCGGACATGGTCAAGATCGGGACACAAGTGGAGTACACGGGCAAGAAGGGCAGGTCGGCGGGGAAGAAGACGACGGTGGTGACGGACGCGGAGGCCTTGTGGGCCATGCTCTACGCTGACGACGCGGCCATCGTCTCGCGGTCGCCGAAGAGTCTCGAGAAGATGATGTCGGTCATCGTGCGCGCGGCCGGCCTGTTCGGAACCTCCCTGCCTACTCTGCTGTGTTGGGTACCTTGATCTCGCTTTGATGTTGCCTTTGTATTTGTACGTCTGGCTGTCTGCCCATCTGCCGCCTTTTTGTCCTGTTTACTCCGTTACTCCCTTGCCCTGGTGCGTAGTGCCTGGTGGTGGTACGTTACCCTTTGATTTTTTCTTCGGCACGGCTATTTGGGACAACACGTCTAACTCGGCGTAGAAAACTCGGATCGACCTCAAACCAAGTTTGTTGTAATCCTACTGGACACAGCTTTCACGGAATGTATTTTGAGTCCACAACGGAGCCGGGGCCGAGGAGATAGAGCCTGAAAAAGGGGCTCCTTGTAATGGAGGAAAACGTGGATTTACCGAAGCCACGGAGCCCCTTTTTTAGGTTCTATCTCCTCAGCCCCGCCTCCGTTGTGGACTCAAAATACATTCCGTGAAAGCTGTGTCCAGTAGGATTACAACAAACAAACTTGGTTTGAGGTCGATCCGAGCTTTCTACGCCGAGTTAGACGTGTTGTCCCAAATAAAAAATTGGGACAACGTTGTCCTAAATAGCCGTGCCGTTTTTTCTTTGGGCGGATGTGGGATTCGTCCTCCTTTTTTTTTGTTTTTGTTTTATTTTGATCGGTTTCCGAGGGCTCTTTTCTCGAACGGTCGGTGCGATACCTGTTCTTTTCTTTCTATCATTTTGTTTTATTTTTCCGAGTGGTTTGTACCCTATCTTTGTTTTTTTTCCCGCGGCGTCGTATATGTGCCGGGTTTTGAGACCACGGGCTCCCCATTTTTTGTGGACTATAGAGCTAATAATGTGAGAAACAACAAACAACAACAACACCACACGCATCACACGACACACCATAAAGCACACCACACAGCAGTCCCATAGACCCCACCGAGGGCCCACCCAGGCCTACACTTGAACATTCCTGGGCGCGGGCATCCTCCCGGTCCCAAAAAGAAGGCTGGCAGCTTTCAAACATGAGCAGCTGGCCGGTTCGGCGGGAAAAAAGCGGACCCTCCCCCACCACTCGCTGCGGAAAACTTCACCACAACATGACAACGACACATGTTATGAAGGAGACGAAGAGGACCACAGCATCAGCAGCAGCAGCAGCCGGCACAGCAGCGACAGTGATCATGGCAGCTGCAGCTCGGGCAGCTCGGGCCGCGTCAAGTACGACGGCAAGAGCAAACGGCAGCAGCGGCGCCGCCGAGAAATGCGGCGAAGTGCAGACGAGAAGCGGGGTGTGTGTGCGCACACTTCTTCAGGTGTGGACATCAGCTCCGCCCTGCAGCACTCCAGCCCCCGCTTCTACAGAGNAAACTTCACCACAACATGACAACGACACATGTTATGAAGGAGACGAAGAGGACCACAGCATCAGCAGCAGCAGCAGCCGGCACAGCAGCGACAGTGATCATGGCAGCTGCAGCTCGGGCAGCTCGGGCCGCGTCAAGTACGACGGCAAGAGCAAACGGCAGCAGCGGCGCCGCCGAGAAATGCGGCGAAGTGCAGAAGAGAAGCGGGGTGTGTGTGCGCACACTTCTTCAGGTGTGGACATCAGCTCCGCCCTGCAGCACTCCAGCCCCCGCTTCTACAGAGGACAACAGCAAGGTGGGAGAGGTCGAGGATGCGACGGTTGTCTTCGAGATTGAGGGAGGTGAAGAAGACGACGGAGACGAGGTCTGCAATTGGTTTGGAGAAGATGACACCGTCGCATCCTCGACCTCTCCCGCGTTGCTGTTGTCCTCTGTAGAAGCGGGGGCTGGAGTGCTGCAGGGCGGAGCTGATGTCCACATCTCAAGAAGTGTGCACACACCCCGCTTCTCGTCTGCACTTCGCCGCATCTATGCCTACAGCCAACGGGCTTGAGGGGTACTTGCAAACCCGGGACCTCAAGAAGTGGACGAGCCACCGCTCGCCCACCGACACGGCCGACAACGTGTTTGATGCTGGCTCGTGGCCAAGCGACAAACCCGGAGGAGCGTAGTAAGGCCAAGGAGCAGGCTCCCCTTGCCGCGGCCAAGGAGGCCAGGAAAAAGTCTAACGAGCGAGGCTGCCGATAAGATCTTGAAGAGGTTCACAGCGGCAAAACTCGCAGCCACCTGATTTGAGCGGCAGCGCCATCCGCAGCGATAGTGTATGTACATACTATTACTAAGACTAGGTGATTAGAATATATTTGCATCGTAGATTTGATAACGAGACTAGAGCGAGCCGGGGGGGTCGGAGATGATTTTGGAGAACATGTTGCTGTTCGTGGCGTTGTCGAGCTGGTTTGGGGGGCGAGGGTGCTGACAGGGAGAGGAAAACGAACTCGGATAATGAACATTAGGGACAACCTCTCACTCGTATACGACCTGCTGTGCGTTGGAAGGCGTTGCGGGGCAATCTTTCGGGGTAATAACGTGCCGTTTCGGGGCAAGAAGTGTCGGTTCGGGGTAATTTCGGGGGTAATTTTCGCCCCAAAAACGGCCATTTTCACCGATTTTTTCTTGACACCGGATTTCGATGCTTCTCAACCTTGCGGTTCTTCTCCACTTTTTTTCGCGTGTCAACTCTCAAAATCCAGCGAGACAAAGTGGGGGTCACGTTGTGGGAAAATTTATCAGGACAGACTCTGTGAAGTGGTAACAACGAAGAACGCAACTACGGTGTATGCGCTGCCAGAGTGCGTTGTTCTGTCTTAGTATCAGTGGGATCTGTTCAAAGAGGCGCTGCCAGTGAGCACGTTCTTGGATGTTGGTGCTCAGGCTGACAAGGGCAAGATGCGCGGACCTGAACAGTTCTGAAACGTGGATTGTTCACGTACGCCAAGAAATAATCCCTCTTGATCATTACAAAGCGGTTCAAGAGTTCCTCCGCTAGCATTTCGTTGGGTTGGTACTTTCCTTTCTATCCCGACGTCCGCCGGATGGGTGGGTGTAAGACAAAGGGCTGGCGCGTTAGACTCGCCTCCGCTCTGTTGTCAAGGACGACCACAACCTGACAGCACCTATCTTGCAGCATGAACATGAGTTGTACATGACTGACTAACTGCTGCTGTGATATTTTCGAAAGTGGTACTAATGTACTTCTATATCTTTTCGTCAAGGGAAGGAAGAAAACGGCAAAACCCTTTCATGTGGTCTGTTGTTTGCTGATGATGGTAACAAAGCTAGAAAGAAAGAAGGACCGCAGCATGAACTGCACTGCTGCGCTGTGGTGCTGTAGCGGGCCTCTCGGTATTTAGACTATTGCGTTTTGTTGACTAGATTACTAGTCTTGTTCTAGATGTTTCTCGACAAGAAGACTATTCGCACGGCGCACAGGTTTGTTAATAGTAGAGTGTGCCGTCATGGAAAACAGTAGACCCCACTTCGCAGTACGAATTATATTGAGTCGGTTCGTTGATGTGCCTCCTCGCCTCCTCCGCAGTCCCTACCTACTCTGTGTGGCGCGCGCGCCCTCGGGTTGTTCTTAAAGACATGGAGGCTTTCGCATTTTCATTCGGTAGGGGACGCGCTTTTCCCTCAAGTTTCTTGTAAACTTCTGAAAAAAATACCCGGGGCACCTAAAGCCTAGGTGCTCTATCTGATTTGTGTAGGTGCAAATACTCAGATAAAAAACTTTTGTATTCGGAATTTGAGTAAATAATAATAATGCATCGATCGCGTTTATTCGACAATGGGTGACCATTTGACTACATGCACAGTCATCGATGACTGTGCATGTAGTCAAATGGTCAGCTTTTATCGAATAAAAGATACACTATCGGCTCGTAGCCAATCCCAGTGGATCTCATAGGGTGTGGTGATCTCCGGGGACGGACCCCTCGCCACAAGATGCTGCTATTAGCCGATAATGGTGCTTTGAAAGCGATCCACTGGGATTCGAACCCGTGCGTGAATCCTTTTTTTTTTATAAAGGCTGACCATTTGACGACGTGCACAGTCATCCGGTTAACCTACAATATAGTGATACAAGCGCTAATTTAGCCCCGCGCATACACCGTACTATCTGTGTAGACAAGTAAACTATTATCTCAATGCGATTGCCGTCGCGATAGATGCGCACCGCTACCGCTACACGAACGAGCAGACTGTTGTCAAACCTGACTATGATAACCTTACGACCATTGCAGCACATTCCGAGCGTAACAGCTGCAACCGCAGCAGCATCCGCATGTGTACCCTAGTGCGTACCCTCGCAGCCCACTAAGGGCAAGGTCATGGGTTCGAGTCCCGGCAGGTTGAGTATTTTTCTCACTAAATAAATCATGGTCTTACTTGGAAGCGACGCGCTGCAAACCTAGTTGTTAGTAAACTTGATCGACTTCATAAGTCGCGAGGGGAGGGACTGCTGTACCATTTTCGCGACAAAAATATCTCAGGCAGGAACCGTAGTAAGGAGTCCAGCCCCCCCCCTCCTATGTGACCCCGGTTGGGTTGTCTCGCTAGTAGAAGTGGAGGCTGGGGGCCAGACGGGTAGGCGACAGAGTCCAATTACCGGAGAAAAATAAAAAAAGGTCACTCAAGAACACGCAAAAAAAAAAGAACGATGTGGCGCGCAGTACGCAGGACCCTCTTTCGCTGTTCAACCGGCCGTTTCCATATCGGAACAAAAAAGGAATAGTCAAGGCCGACTCTTGCCGGCCACAGGAGGCGGAAGCTGCTCAAACTCGTGGACGGTTCATGATTTGCGGTTCCACCGAACCATACTCGAGGCGCCAAGAGATTTGCACTGTAACTCGAGATCAGCAATTTGGGCCGGGTCGGGCAAGGGGTGGGGCATGCGAATGAAACTTCCACGGATGTTGAACCATGAGACTGAAGCTAAAGCTTCAGAATCTACGTTGGGCTGGGTAGTTTACTAACTTCCACTACCGCGATTTACTCAGAAGCTCTGTCTCTGTGTACTCTCGTTGGTGAAGATTGATTGATGTGTGTATGTCTGGAGCGTGCTCCGAGGAGACGACAAATCAGCGAAACCCGGGGTGATGATTCGCCAGCTTATCATTCCCTCCTGGATACATGCGCCCCCTGCCTCCGAATACCCACATTAGGGTGCTATTTCGATTTTTCACGAAAATATTGTAGGCGATCCCCGGGGAGTTCTCAAAGGGGATCGCAGTATCTGCTGGGAGCGAGGTACTTGTAGTAGACTTGGTTGTCGTGCAACCTGAGAGCAGATAAACGAGTAGATGAGACTAGCACGAACCCATCGTGGATGTGCGACGACCAAACCAACGGCAAACCCGAACGGAATTGCGGTTAGGTATTCTCGGAGAAGCCTTGTGCTAAGGACCTTGTCAGAGAGCCATGCCCTCTTTCTAGTACGAGGATTCATTGGCACAACAACATTAACAATGCTGCCTATTATAATGAAGCTATCGAGGGAAGGCATCTCGAGCGTATGATTTCAAACACCGCCCGGCTCTGACCTGCGACCATTCCCTTTCATCTGAAGCTCGCACAATCAATGTGGACGGGAACATGTCGCATACCAGCCTACAGTCAGATGAACACATGTAAGATTCTGCTGGAGTGACAGGCGTCAAACCATCGTGGTGATATGCGAGGGTCACCACTGCTTTCCTCCCGATTTCCTCCGGGCTGCTTGTCGTCTTGTACCCCTTCTATTTTGTTCCGCCGCATCAAGGTTGCCCACCCAAGAATCCATTAAACTGCTGCTTCCATACCACAGGAAATCCTCGCCAAGGTCGATCGCGTCTCCAGGGAAGGGAATAAAGCCTGTCGATTCACCGGCACAGAAGCGGGCGATCGATCGTAAACAAACAGTTGTCGCCAGACTACTTTCCAAAGGCTTGCACAAGAAATGTGTTCGTGCTGTTCTTCTAGCTATACTTGTTCTCAGTGCAGTGGGCAAAATCACACATCCAGGTATCAACAGCGTGGGTGCCCCGCACATTCGGTGTCCAGATCCTCGCACATTGTTGTCCCAAAACAAACATCGTTGTACTACTGTAGGAACAGTCCGGACCGTTCGAGGACAACGTCTGGCTGCGCTGTCAACCAGACCCAGGACCAAGAAAACCCCACCACAGGTAAGCGCGAGAAACGTTTTTTCTGCGACCCGCCGCCCGCCCCGCCCTATTTGTGCGTCCCCAATCCGCCGGTCTTTTGAGATTGCCAGACACATAGACGCTGAGTGGGGATACTGAAACCTCACGAGTTGAGTGATGTTGGATAGTGCCGGACACATAGACGCTTTGAGTGAGGAAAGACACATACTGAAACCTCACAGGTTGATTTGTATTGGAGATTGCCGGACACACAAACGTTTTGAGTGAGGATAGCTGCATACTGAAACCTCACGAGTTGAGTGATGTCGGATAGTGCCGGACACATAGACGCTTTGAGTGAGGAAAGACACATACTGAGACCTCACCGGTGATTTGTATTGGAGATTGCCGGACACATAGACGTGATGAGTGAGGATAGCTACATACTGAAACCTCACAGATGGATTGGTTTTGAGTTTGCCAGACACATAGACGCGCTGCGTGGGGATAGCTACATACTGAAACCTCACAGGTTGAGTGATGTTGGATAGTGCCGGACACGTAGACGCTTTGAGTGAGGAAAGACACATACTGAGACCTCACCGGTGATTTGTATTGGAGATTGCCGGACACATAGACGTGATGAGTGAGGATAGCTGCATACTGAAACCTCACAGATGGATAGGTTTTTGAGTTTGCCGGACACATGGACGCGCTTCGTGGGGATAGCTACATACTGAAACCTCACAGGTTGAGTGATGTTGGATAGTGCCGGACACGTAGACGCTTTGAGTGAGGAAAGACACATACTGAGACCTCACCAGTGATTTGTATTGGAGATTGCCGGACACATAGACGTGTTGAGTGAGGATAGCTACATACTGAAACCTCACAGATGGATTGGTTTTTGAGTTTGCCAGACACATAGACGCGCTGAGTGGGGATAGCTACATACTGAAACCTCACGAGTTGAGTGATGTTGGATAGTGCCGGACACATGACGCTTTGAGTGAGGAAAGACACATACTGAGACCTCACCAGTGATTTGTATTGGAGATTGCCGGACACATAGACGTGTTGAGTGAGGATAGCT